GTCATATTTTGAAATTTTGAATTTTGTTCCAAATTTCTCAATAATTGAACAAAACAGAAAAAAAAACGTTGAAAAACAATAAAGTTTATGGAAATAACGGTTTCATTATTTTCAATTTTGTTTTGACGCTGGTTGCACAAAAAAACCGTTCTTTTCTCGGGAGTGAACCTCAGCCGGTTACTCGAGTGGACTGTATAGGTGATGTTGACAAAGAGATAGACAAGGTTACCAGTAGTGTGATAGACAACAAAGCGATTTTGTGGATCACAATAAAACACCGAGGTAGGTATATTGGTATGAAAAAAAAAAATTAAAACAAAAAACACACAATAACAAATGGCAATACGTATTCGTAGAACAGGCGGGGCGGGTCGGTTGCGACCGGACGATTCAATTAAAAGGGAAAAGTGAAAGTAACGAGAAAAAAAATAAATAATATTGATAAAGAAATCACAATAACAAAATATTGATAACAGCGTGGTGATAATGTTACGGTAAATTAATTGGTACGACCTGGTTACCGGCGACTGTGATTAGTCCGGGTGAACTGATAGCACGACTGCTGTCCGCAACGGATGAACGATGACTTCCCCTGGTACTGCGCGTGCGGGTGCGACACGCTCGCGGTGGCATAAGATGGCGGACGGCGGCTCCGAGGATAATGTGACGCGAGCGATCCCCCCCAAACGAGCNGTTAAAAAACGAAACGGGAAATGTCCGGCGGGCGATACGCGTCGGCGAGACGGTGGCAATCCAAACGGATAGGTAAAAACGCGCACGCTACGGCGTCGGGTCGACGAGACGCGGGCGGTCCGACACAAGCGACACACAAGACGAAACGGATACGCGGGCGTGACGAACGCCAATTCGTGTAAACCGCGACACGGGACGTCGGCCGCAATGTAAACGGACGCGGAATCTTGAGGTTTTGACGATGGCGGAAAACCGGGTCGTACGGACGGTTTTGCGAAAGCACGTTTTGAACGCTCAACAAGGACGGAACGCACGTGAAGTCACGGACATCGCGTGAACGGACGGACGGCGACAGAACGACGACGGCAGGGCGTGCCCTCTCCCGACAGATCCCGTCGCAACTTATTGGACCGCGGTAACCAGGTTTTGTGATCGGTTGCGACCGCGCAAATTTTTTTTTAAATTAAGTGTAATGTAGTATTTTATTATTATTATTTATTATTTATATAATATTTTTTTCTTTTAATGAATTGTATAAAATCAAATTTTGATAAAAATCGAAAATATTACAGCGAAATCTGTCGAAATCTGTGAATATTTTTAACTGAATACAATACAGATCTTTCAATTTGAATTCAGCGCGCGCGCGACCTATTTGCGCGGTCGCAACCGATCACAAAACCTGGTTACCGCGGTCCAATAAGTTGCGACGGGATCGGTCGGGAGAGGGCACGCCCTGCCGTCGTCGTTCCGTCGCCGTCCGTCCGTTCACGCGATGTCCGTGACTTCACGTGCGTTCCGTCCTTGTTGAGCGTTCAAAACGTGCTTTCGCAAAACCGTCCGTACGACCCGGTTTTCCGCCATCGTCAAAACCTCAAGATTCCGCGTCCGTTTACATTGCGGCCGACGTCCCGTGTCGCGGTTTACACGAATTGGCGTTCGTCACGCCCGCGTATCCGTTTCGTCTTGTGTGTCGCTTGTGTCGGACCGCCCGCGTCTCGTCGACCCGACGCCGTAGCGTGCGCGTTTTTACCTATCCGTTTGGATTGCCACCGTCTCGCCGACGCGTATCGCCCGCCGGACATTTCCCGTTTCGTCTTTTAACGTTCGTTCTCGGCGAGCCCCGGCCGACCTCGGTCCGTCCTCACGTACGCGCGCGGGGGCACATAACGCCGCCGTTCGTCTTTTACTCGTGCGCTTTCTCGATACCTGTCGACCATCCCGTGCGGGTACCTACCGGCCGACCGATCGTTCAACCGGCGGCGTCGCCGTATCCACGTTCGGACGTTATTTGTGTTTCTCGCTCGTTTGGGGGGGATCGCTCGCGTCACATTATCCTCGGAGCCGCCGTCCGCCATCTTATGCCACCGCGAGCGTGTCGCACCCGCACGCGCAGTTCCAGGGGAAGTCATCGTTCATCCGTTGCGGACAGCAGTCGTGCTATTAGTTCACCCGGACTAATCACAGTCGCCGGTAACCAGGTCGTACCAATTAATTTACCGTAACATTATCACCACGCTGTTATCAATATTTTGTTATTGTGATTTCTTTATCAATATTATTTATTTTTTTTCTCGTTACTTTCACTTTTCCCTTTAATTGAATCGTCCGGTCGCAACCGACCCGCCCCGCCTGTTCTACGAATCGTTATTGCCATTTGTTATTGTTTGTTTTTTGTTTTAATTTTTTTTTTTCATACCAATATACCTACCTCGGTGTTTTATTGTGATCCACAAAATCGCTTTGTTGTCTATCACACTACTGGTAACCTTGTCTATCTCTTTGTCAACATCACCTATACAGTCCACTCGAGTAACCGGCTGAGGTTCACTCCCGAGAAAAGAACGGTTTTTTTGTGCAACCAGCGTCAAAACAAAATTGAAAATAATGAAACCGTTATTTTCATAAACTTTATTGTTTTTCAACGTTTTTTTTTCTGTTTTGTTCAATTATTGAGAAATTTGGAACAAAATTCAAAATTTCAAAATATGACTTTCGTATTCACCAACTGGATCCAAAATGCTATAAAAAACAAACCTTGTCGTTTATCGATTGGATATCGATCGATATTCAAAATTAAAAGAAAAATGTTTCTTGGGATTTTTTATTATATCAAATTATCTGGTGGATAACATAATGTGTAAAAATTAAAAATAATGAAATAGGCGTATATACTTTAGGAGCCTAAATATAAAATCATGTACAAACGAAATTCGCTCTGAATTGTATTTTGTTAGCAATAGTTTATCACTGTATATAAATTTAAATTAAACTTCCCTCTTTATCCTGCTTCTCAAATTCTCACCTATAGTGCCTCACCCGCCGTATGAAGTATATCAGTCTTTTTCTAAGTAACTTTGACTATTATATGTTATCTTTTCTCAAAAATGACTCGAGCCATCTAAAGTTAGTTAAAAATTAGTTTTTTCTATTTTTCAAAAAATTTAATCTATACAATATACGTCTGTAAGTTTTTGTAAGCAAATGTATATGTTAATATTTAATTGACAATTATTATTTTATATTCTATTGTTTTACAATGATGTTTTTTTATGCATTCTTTATCTGTGAACAATTTCTTACCAGAAATATTGTTCCGATTAACAAGTCTAGTGCTTTTTTTGAACAGAAATCTGACTAGGGTGGTACATTAAAGAGGTTATCTTTGATATTCTCAGAAATTAAAATGAAAAACCCAGGGAAAACAGGAGACCAGGAAAATATGTACAATGTTAAACAAATATTATTAAAGAAGATGTTTAATATATATGGAATTATTTTACCATAGTATGATATGATATATATTGTTGAAAAAGTAACACTATCAACTGAATTCCTCTCAGAATCATTTTTTCGTTAACAACAGTTAATCATTGCTTACATATATACATTAAATTCTAGTATATATTCTACCTTCCCAACTTTCCACCTTTAACAGTGGCTGCACCCATTCCTATTATAACCTAAGACAGATTTTCTCTAAACTAATATCTTATTAAGTGTTTAGAAATACTGATATGGTAACATTCCTCAGAAATAAATTTAAAACAAATCAGAAGAATTAACTAAAAACATTAGAATTAAAATTGTCAATTAAAGTAATTTTTTTAGGGGGTTTTATAATCAGATAGATTTTTTAAGTAGGTTTGATTTTATTAAAATATGATTATTAACATGTTACCTATTTCACATTATTTACGTTAATTTTGTTTGTATACAATATTAGTCTAATAGGAAAAAATTGAAAAATAGGATAAATATTCTGTATAACATAATATAATGTTCCAATATATTAAGCTGTTGGCAGATATATACCAGCAGTTCTAAAAATTCATATAAATAAAAAGAAAAATTAAAATAAATCTTACAGACGAAAGAAAACAATAGCCAATAACTTTTAACTAAAACCAGAACTATAATGAGCTTATAATAAGCTAGTTGATCTGTAATCATAGATAGCAACTTAATGTAAAATATACATACTTTTTAATTGTATGAAATTATACAGAAAGGACTATGCATAACAAATTTGCATTAAAAATTTAAAATACAATTTTTGCCTTTTATTTTGTATAAATTAATATTATACTTTTATTTTCCAAAAAGATATATTTAATTGTCTTGCTAAAATACATATTTTCCAGCAAAATACCTAACAAGGCGACTACTATCGCTAAACCAATCATTAGGGTGATATTGGCATTTCTGATTTGCATATCCAAATATTGACTACCACTAACAGAGCATTTTTAAGATTGCTGGTTATCAATTTTAGATTGTAGTTTCAATAATTCTTCCTGTAATACATTTAACACAATTCAAAGTTAATTTAATAACTTAAAAATAAATACAATTAAATAATAATATCTCACTCTCAATATAGCATTTAATTGTTTTAAGGAGTTTTCTGCTTCACATAATTTTTCAAGTTCAGCAGTTACATTTTGTGATTCTTTCTTGTCATTTGTTTCTTATACAGCCTATTTAAAAATAATCATTAATATAATAATCTAATTGACTTGATAAAAATAATTACAGTTGTTTCATTGTAAATGTTTTTAGATTTGAATAACTGTTCAGAAGTCATTTCAAAAGAGCATTTCAGTATAAAATCCATAATTCTACCTTTTTCAATGTCCTGCCACAAAATTAAATAAACAGGCAAATATTTAAAATAAATAATTTAATTTAGACAACTGTCATTATATTTGTCCATTCATCATAGGATAGTTCAATATATTTTTTGATTCTATTTAAGACCATTTACTTCAAAATAAACAATTGAGACATGTCAGTAACCTGAACATTTATGCCATCTTCTCCATAGTCAGTAACAGGGTCAATAACACAACTGTCTGCACTAAAAACCTGTGTTTATTTTTTTCATTGGCATCATAGTTGAATGGTTGCAATATTACTGGATAACAAATTTAAAACATAATACAAGTTAGCAGATCATTTGGGAAACAATCATGTAAAGATTCTTTAAAATATTTAAAAAAAAAAAGAGTAAATACGCTTAAAAGGTAATATAAATTAGACAAACAAAGTTGATAATTCTTAAACAAATTTGTCTCTTTAAAATCTTGATGCAAATCAATGCCTACAAATATTAAATTATGCATACCTAAAATTTCTGCCTTTTCTTTAGGAATAAGTTCACCATAATTTGGCCTAGCATAATAACCTTTTGGTGCAGTAGTTTTTATTTTAAAGGCAATTTTTTTATTACTTGGATTATTCAAAACCATAACAGCCTGAACGGGTTCAGTAAATGAACCTAAAGAATATAAAATAATTCATTTTTCTTGTAATTTGTATATTATTTTAGTTAAATGTTGGTTAGACCATTGATGAAATATACATAGATAGCCCACGGGTATACAGAAGATGAAATAACCGTAATTAGAACTAAGAGTTTTCAAAAAATGACATTAGCAATACCACTATTTAAGAAATAATTATAATCGTAATTAGATAGGTAGTGAAATTATTAGAGGCCGGGAGGGGATCACATCAGTAAGCCGACCGTCATAAACAATTCCCAGTTTGGACTTTGGACAGTAGTTTGAGATAAGAAAACAACCTTTTCTCGCCAGCCTTATAATTAATAATCTATAATATTACAGCAACAGCAGCTGTCACTTGTTCTTTTATTGGTTATAATAAATGTGTCAAATATTACATTTTCATATTTTCTTATTTTTTTTTTTCGTCAAATGTCAATAAAATTATTTTGCCTGGTTATAAAATCTTGGCAATTTATTACAACGCTTCTCATACATTTCTCTACTCAGTGCCGTGCACAGGAGGGGAGGTTATGGGTTTAACCCCCCCCATTGGCTTTAAGATACATCAAAATATGAATAATCTTATATCGAAACATACATTTCAGCCGGTTTCCGAGGGAAAACTTAATGCATTGATTAGAAATTGGCATTTTTTTTATGATCCGGCTTTTAAATTACCAATTCTCATAGTCGAGGCGGATAGAGAAGACGATTTTACTATTTACTCACGATTTTTAATAGTAACATCACCTCCCATTGAAAATGTGACGATCTACCGCAGTCTATAAAAACATATATACTACCGCAACCACGAGAAATATTTAACCAAATTATAATTATAATATTTTTGAATAACAGAAAGAAGTAAGGCATAACTCTAGTTTAGCAACCGCGTAATTTTTTGGGCCTTTTTTTCCAAAATGTGTATTTTTAGACGCTTAATCCATTGGTATAATCAAAACGTACCCATCTTACTTACTTTTAAAGTATTTGTATATAAACCTTAAAAAATAGCATTTTTGGAATGAATCCAAAATGTGGTCAAAAATAGAAATTTTTTATTACTATTATTATTTGTCGTTATTTATATTTAGATCACAAAGATTTTTATTGAAGTCAGAATAAGTCTATCTGGCTTAGTTTCAGAATTATTCGCGTTCAAAAGTGATGTATTAATGACGTTCGAGCGCAGCAATCGAAAGACCACATTTGATCTCTAATTTTACTTATATGCTTTTCACTTTTCTTTGTTGATTACCCGACGTGGTTTTGCATAACAAACCGAGGGTTATTTTCGATAAAAATTGTACGAGTGACGCAGCAAAATATGGTGCATTTGAACGTCTGTAACTCTAAAACTAAGCCAGGCCGACTTATTCCGATTTCAATAAAAATGTCTATTTTTGACCACAGTTTAATTAAATCCAAAAATGCTCCTTTTTAAGGTTTTTATACAGAAACTTTAAAAGTATGTATATAGGTAAGTTTTGATTATACCAACGGATTAAGCGTCTAAAAACATATATTTTCGAAAAAAAAAAAAATTGAAAATCTTAAATTCCAACTAAGAAATGTGCGAAAAGGAAAACCTTTACTTTATAAAGTTTTTCCCCTTAACTTCCAAACGAAGTTCGTCCAACTTTTTTTTACGTTCATAATATACACGCAAAAACACACATTTTGAAAAAAATATACCCAAAAAATCGCGTGGTTACTAAACTAGAATCGTTCCAGAAGTAAAAACTGTTTGTAAAGATGAAATTAGTCAAATAGGTTAAATGGAATGTAATCATAAAATTTCATCAAAACTGTTATAAACACCAAAACAAAATCAAATCAGCACGACAATCGTGGTTACAATCGAAAATTACAATAGCGCTATTTGATTTCAGTGTCTCATTCTATTATTTTTGGGCTCTCATTACCTCGATTTCTTATTAACAGTTTTTAACGTTGCGTGTGCTATCTATGTATATTTAATCAATGGTTATACCAATTAAATCGAGGCCATAAACGGATACCATAATATTCAGAAAACATAAATACCAATTAAAAAATATTCCATATCATAAACATGACACTAAATTTTTTAAAACAACAATTTATTGTATAAAACGTTAACAAAATATTACCTACATATTTTATAACGAAAACCATCAATTAAATAACAATTATAAATATATTTATTTTATCTTAAATTATCTTTGTCTAATTAATTTATAGGTATATATTATCAATATGTATCAATATATTATCAAATCCCTACAACATTTAATGTATCCGCCTACTTATTTATTGATAAGTTAGGTACTTAATTTAAATATAAAATCAGAATAATTTTAATACTTAAGTAATTCAAATTTGATTTGCCTACATTTGTGTGTATCTAAAGGCATTTTAATAACTAATAAATATCAACTAATATCAATACACATCAAAAATTATTCGGTAAAATTTTTGATTAATTAGGTAGTTCATTTATAGATGTGCCTTGTTATGGGGAAATTACATTACATAATGTGTAATAACAGATTCTTCAAAATAAACTATAAATGTCGTCCATTAAAAGATGACTAAAACATATCAAAATATCTAACTCTATTGACTATACTATGTATGTAATTTATGTTAAACAAGGATGTATATAGTAACACAATCAGCTAAATATTAACCTTAAACTGATAATATGGGCATAAAACCGTATGCAATATAAACAGAAACATTTGCTATATCACACTCTCTAACTTTCAACTGTGATATTGATATACTGCTCTGGAATGGTGTTCTGGTCTGTACGACAATAGGGTCAATACTAAAATAAGATAAACACCATTAACTGATCAACAGATTAATAGATTTTTAAATTAAAATAATAAAACTGTATGGCATACTTGATTAAAAGTTAGTATATTGTAATTATCTTTTAATCAAATAGATTTATTTTCAAACCAGATTGATAAATTTGTTAAAAATACACTGACTAAGTTAACCATTGGCTGAGGATATAATTCAAAATGTATTTATAAATGCATAATTGAGAGTGTAGGCATACTTTACCTGAATATAAAATGCCAATATAAACTTTATCTGTACAGTTTATGTTATATAAGTTAGTGGTAGTATATTAAGTTAGTTATATGTACCGTGGAGGATAGCTATCAAAGATAAGAGATTGACGGAGAGCATTTTGTTTGGTGGTATGGTTTTAATGATCAAAAGTCAAAAGAAGATAAATGTATGAACAAATGTACTATCTATTTAAAAATGTATTGAAAATTAAAAATTAATTTATAGTAAAAACTAACATTTAATATACCTACCTACGTTTGTATATTGGAATCACACGACTAAATATGAACAAGAACACCACATAACATAAACTATATATTTAATGAAAAAGTACGTGGAGACATGATAGGGAAGGTTGGAAAATTGGATGCATGATGGGATGGCTTTAATGGCCGATAGATCACATAAAGAAGAATATAAACATTATATACAATCATTAAGTTTTGTTTATAGTGTTTACACCAATCCTTAGTGCAACTTAAGAATTGTTAAAAATTGTTTTCATAATTAAAATGACACTGAGGATATTAAAAAATATGAAAATAGATTTTTTATGATTAATATTATCACATTCAAGAGCAAGACAGTTTTTCCTTTTAAACATTTGTTAATATTTTACAATAATACATTAGTTCACTATTTTAAGAAAATTAATATCAATTTGCATTTAATTGCATAGATCCAGTGATATTAATTTTAATAGAATTATATAAGGAAAATTAATAAAATGTGATAAAATTGAAGGACTATACCTTTAAATAGGTATATAGTAGAGTTTTAAATTTAATACCTAGATACCAAACAACTGCTGCAAACATTTGAATGTAATAAATTCCAGTGGCGGCTCGTGCTGTGGTGCCCGGGAGCAGTGCACCACCTACAATTTTGAAAACCATACATTATTATATTACCTACTACAATATAAAAAATATATTATTAATAATTATAAACCAGAAATGCATTCATGTTCATTTTAGAGACGAGATTTTACCTACGAATTACTTTTTAGAAATAAAAACATATTTAAGTGGTGTGTTGGTGCACAAACGAATATTCAGCCGTCCGGCCGCCACTGTCGGAGACCACCATGCGTTGGGAACTGATTGTTTCTTTTGAATAATATTACATTTTTGTCCGGCGAGGCGGCGTTATCTCCAAAAATACTGTCCGACCCGGTTTACATTCAATCCCTAAACAATATTGTACAGTATAACAAAAGCAACCGTAATTCCCTAACGTTATAATATTTTAGATTTCCGTCTAAGCACGCCCTAAGAACAATTGGCGTTTATTACGAGTGTCGCTAACCTTTGAATATGAGTACGTGCGGAGGCTCGATGAGCACAATTTGTTCCGTTTTTGACGACATGACCAAATTTTTTTTTTTTTTTCTCTCTAATGAACTCTGTTCGGCCGTTGGTTTGCTGGCGTCAATGACGATTGTTGCTGTTACAAACTGCTACTGCTATAACCCACGACTTATTGTATGAATGCTGTTAGGCGACAGCAGTAGCCACAAGCTCTTACACGCGCGTACGCGGATACCTACGCACACGCACAAGTAAACGCACAGCACAGACGCGAGTTCGCGAATTACAACGTCAAGTGGGTACACGGTAAAAACGAAACGGATTGAACAACGAGACGATACAACGGACCGTATGTCACGTGAATGTTCGTTGTCGGCGCGGCGAACGAAATATTATGCACTACGCGAACCGCGGCGTACGAGAGGCCGAAAAAAATCATAAATAATATTATACTCTTTGGCTAATGATTTGGCCAGCGATTGTTTGAACTTTATTTCCCTATAGTGCTGACATCTAGTTGATTGTCTAAACCAAAGTAGATATAATACATGCATGTATATATTAAGGTCTATGAATACACGGTAGACAACTTCGTTATTAAAAATCAATTGCTAACGAGTATAGACATAAAATGGCCGCAACAAGGTGGAATCAATCGAATTTGATGAATTTACCGCGGGAAATTTAAATATTATTTTAGTATGTCATTACTTTAATGTTACTATTCTTAAAATAACATCGTATTTCCTAAAACGTATGCTTTTTTTTTTCTATTGGGAATTAATATCTCAATAGTTAGACATCTTATTATTATTATATACCTATATTTAATTTATTGTATTTTGATAAATATTATGCATTATTCATTGTTTTATAATAAATATCATATTTTATTATTTTAGTTGTGTCGTGTTATTGTATTAAATAAAAATACGATACTATTTGTCTGCAATACAATACTTCATTTTTATTACATTTAAAATCTAAATACTTTTTACAATATAAAAAACTGTATACCAACCAGTTACACTGTTTTATGGATAAAGTATAAATCAAATGATTCATTTAAACTAATATCTATACTTAAAATCACGATTTTAATATTGGTTTTAGAAAATAAATATAATATTATACAATTTTTAATCAATACATTTTTCTTTCGTGACCGGATTCAATAATTTAAAGGTTTTATACAATTTAAATGTTTAACTTCCAAAAATCAGCAACACGGGTTGCCTTGTCGTTGGCTAAAATAAGGTCTTCCATCGTGCAGCTAAGTTTCATATCTGGGCTTAGGGCTTTGTACTATACCACACCTTATCATCGTCGCCGAAACCCCATAGTTTTAAATTTGATCTACATCTCGTGACACTTGTTCTTAGTCGATTTAGTGATTTAGCTTACCTCCAATGGGGGAAAGGTAATTGAAAACCGGCGGATCCTTCCTCTTTCAGATACATTGTGGGATCGGACATATTCTTTTTTCATAACTCTATCCACCGAGCCTCTGGTAGTCCCTAAAACTCACCCGTTGTTATTATGAAACTTGTTCGTAATTCAAGTCAAGATGACAGATTTTGGAGTTCAAATAATGGGTGCCTAGTATCATTTCTTTGTTTGTTATTTTCAATTTCCGCGGCTACATTCCTTCGTATTTCGGGAGAAGCTATTCTATAATGATAGGATAAATCTTTTCTATGGGTGTTGGCTCGACGTCATAAAGAGGTGGTCGAGTTATAGCGATCGAGATTTCTTTCCGCCTTATTTTTAATATTTTTCCTCAATAGGCATCTACCTTTATCGCATATTAATATATCATATGTTATCGCTTATAAATTATAATTATAACTCAAATATACTATATAAATTGAGCTCATGGGGGGGGGGGATCTTCAACCCCAATATCACATATATCATTAATAATTTGGGCTGCTACGTACATCATGTGTAATTTTTTTAAGTTTATTGTTATAGATAAAACGTATTTTAAATTTAGATAATATAATAAAACTAGTTTTGTATTATTGTATATTGATCATATTTTAAATTATTTATTTAACTGTCAGTCCCTATACTTAAAACTACTCAGTAAGAAAACTAATAACTATTATACTTACGATTACTATTTTAATATTTTTGTTCGAAATGACGAAATTTATATACCTAATATATTTGTTGTGTATCGTATCAACGAGAAAATATTATACGCTCGTAGTTTTTTATTTTTTATTTTATAGAACCAGAGGTGTGTGTTTTTGTGAGTATCCATTCACTGTTTCACTAAAAATATATCCTAAGGTATCTGTATATAGGTACCTTGCAAAAATAGTAGAAATATTGTATAAAATAATTATTAAAATTAATTAAAACGTATGGCGATAAAAAACGTTTGTGTTATTAATATTATCCGTCATGGCCGTCTACATAAATAGGAGGAAAATAAAATAATACAAAAAACACCGACTTCATTTTTTTCAGCATTTTAATTTAATACTATATTAGAATACATCGAAAACGTAATCGCGGACAATTTCGAGCGATCAAAATTTGTTTTGATCTTTTAAGAGTGTATTGAACTACGTGTTTAAAGCATCGTGTGAAAGTCTAAATTTGAATAGTACTTTGAGTACGAATACAGATATTATTTTATTAGATTTTTATAATAATGCAGGTATTTATAGATATTATACTAAACAAATATTTGAAAACGAATACAGATATATGTATACTTTTGAAATTTTTTTATAAATACATTCAAATAATTTTTTTTCGACGTGGATTAATGCGATATGTTTTAATATTTACAACACAATTTAGAATACAATTTTACATTCAATTGTATATGCAAAAGTAATTTTTGTAAACTTATTAATTTTATTTTTATTTAAATTACTTTACTTAAATACTCTATAATTCTGAGTAGTAGAGATCAAGATCTACATAAAAAAAACCTGCAAAACATCATTGTGTAAAACCAGTGGCGCAACCAGGGTATGCATCCCCGAATCTAAAACACTCCCTTGGACAGTGTCATACGTTTTTATAGTAATAATAATAGATTTTTATAGAAATAATAATTGATTCAAGATTTGGGTTAGTTCGGCTATCGTGATAACGAAAATGACCGATAAAAAAAAAAAATCATTAAGGACAAGATCGAGATTCATCTTTACAGGCGATTACCTTCTTCTACAACGTGTTAGACACATAGATTAAGTAATTACTATAGTAGAGTAATTACTCTATGGTTGTACATCGTGTAATTGCTATCAAGTATTATTTGTTTCTGTTAGCAATTTAAATAATTCGTTTGTCATTTTCGTAGTTTTCGTGGTCTTTTTTACTTATTTCTATTATGTTGAAAATATTTTGTTATATTTCGTGTACGCGGTGAATACCTACGATTAATAGCAATTAGTTCATTAGGAAGTCAGTGTAATACCTGATGAAGTGATTAATAATTTAAGCAGTTCAAAACTTCGTCGGTTATATTTCATTCTATAATTTGTTAGGTACCTACTTTTAATACTATTTATCGCAGCAGTGTGTACAGTGGTGTGTTCAGCTTTTGTGTACCTTAATTTTGTAGTTTTAATTTTACATTATAATAAACTTAATGATTGAGTCACTTTATTGAATTAATTCTATCTTTGGATCTTTCATCCTTGTCAAATCATTTATTTTTTAATATTTTATTAATTGATACAAAATCTGTCAAAATTATTTGTTTACATAAAGTGTTGTTGATAAAGTATTACGAATCATTGAAAGTATTTCTCTTTAAGCGAATCTTGGGAAAGTCAAATCTCTCTCAAAGAGGATCCCCCCTCTTGGAAAAATCCTGGTTCAGCTACCGTGTAAAACGAACGGTTCATTGAAAGATAAAACATCAAATTATTAACAATTGAACAGTGGCCATAATATTATCTTTATCTTGATCACATCTTAGGGAGAATAACCTAGTTAGTTTTTTGTGTAAATTAAGTTCCCATATGGATATTGAAATTGCTTATCGTTTTAGAAATAATTGGAATAAAAAATTATAATTACTAATGGTTTTTGTTAATGAAGGAGATGTTAGTATTGTTTTTTTAAAACCCCTACTAACAGAAAAAAATTTAAAAAGGCTTATACTGCAAATGGGTGTGCCACTGTTTTAAGAGGAATATTATGCAGAGTAATTTAATTTGTGTCTATGAACACAAGGTTAAACTATTGCTTACGAAAAACGTTTCTGAGCAGAGTATTATTAGTCGCATTTTTCCCTTATTGTCAAAGTAATAAACGAGAAATCAACGAAATTTATGTAGAACAAATTGGATAGTTTTTCCTATTCATTGAGAAAACTATTTTTTATTTATTAAAATATAAATTATTTATTTAACTATTATTTACAGATATACTGAAAAATAGAAGAAATAATAATAAAAATAAATAACAAACAACCATGATAAAACAAAGAATCTAAAAAATACGTTTTTACACAACTGCCTAGGGTACGCGGATTTACTATTATATTCTTAACTAACAATCTTCGTTTAATAAAGTGTACTAATTATTACCATTATGGTTTTTTTTTTTTTTTTTTTTTTTTTTTTTAAAAATACAAATAATCACAAGCTTTACGTAACACTACAAGTAACTAATTTCGATGAGTAGGTGTATTTTAAAATGGTGTATTGAATACACGTATGTCTGTGCCTTGAGAATAAAATAATCATTCTTATTTCACCAATTATTTTTAAGTATCGGTAATTATTGTCGAAGGCTCTTGCGGTGGTATTTTAGTTTTAGAAGGATTTATAAAAAGCGACACTCCTGCGTTACTCGGCTGTTTGGACGCATATTACAAAAGCAAATTATTTACGACTCTATAAATAGAATACTTATACCTAAACTCAGATAGGAAGAAAAAAAGGAGTCTATGCGACAATACCATTAAACAACATTAAATTTTTGTTCTTAAAACCCAATGACAATGTTCCTCTTACCAGTTTAAGTGCAATTGTATTATTTTTTTAATCGCTGTAGTCCCATATAAAAAGTGATTATATTATATTTAAAAGATTATGATTTTGATTATGAAAAAAAATGTATTTCCAAAAAACATTAAACCATAACACCCCAACTTGTATTATAACTAATACTCTATCTATTTATGAAATTTTTAATATAGGTTTTTATTTAAAAAACCAAAGTGGGTTTTGCCATTTATACATGCACATTCTAATCAAGTTATTCACTTTCACGAGTTTGTAAGGGTATTTTAAACCCGATATTTCTTTTGAAATCGTAAAATTTGAGCATCAAAATGGATGGGGAGAGGGTTGATGGTAAATGGAACCACCATATTATTATATGCACATTATTGATACTTACATCATGCATATATCAAACATTTGGGAGTTCAATAGTATAATATAATATAAAGCTAGAAAAACACTTTCCTCCCTTAACGACGGGGTTATATTCTTATTTAAATTCAACCAAAATTATATTACTTCAATCCGCCTACAAAAAAAAAAAAACTCTAGTTCCCGAGTTTGATGTTTTTTGGCCCAAAGAAAGCCGCTAAATATGTCCAAATATACCAGGAAAATACATATATATATATACATATTAAAACAGACACAATACAGTGAAATAGTTACTATTTTCGGTGAAAACTCGGCAAAAATGGTTAGTCATACATTTATACATCGTATTATAAAACGAGTTGTTTTTAAAATCAAGAAATTACGTTACTGAATAAACGATAATAATATTATAAAATATAGTTCCGAATTTGATAAAGAAAAAAAAAACTATAATAATTTTCGTATCTACCGATCATAACAACTGTATGATAGAATTGAAAATATTATACGATAAACTCGCTATGGATATCGTAAAACCTATGAAATTTTAAAAATTGCATTTACACGGATATTTTTGTATTAAAAAAAAAAAAAAAATTCGAATTTTCGTACCGTCAAACACCGTACTTATCTAGTAGCGGTAAGACCCATCACCATAATGTCCGGAGATGAGTCGTATAGCGTTTTATAATTGAAATATTATCTATAAAACGGACGGAGAACGTTATATTATTTTGTTTTCCTTATTAATATTCAACGCAACACACGCGAAACTCTATTGACTGTTTTATTAATTAAACTTCGGCAATATTATTCAAACACAGTGTATAGTTACACGCCCGCTGATGGCGGAAATTATGTACGTGTTTAATCAGTTTCTCGGATGACGACGGGAATGATGTTTATTTCAGATTTGATACGTCTCGAAAACGAAACCTCCACACGTAAAACGTGCGAAAAATTAACAGTAATAATTATACTAGCTATACCAGCTGCTCGCATTGCCGCCATTGCACTTATTGCCAGCGTTAAACGATAGCCATCAACTACCTATAATAATAATATTATAACCTTATAATTTATAATTTTTAAATTTTTTAAATTTTTTTTCTCGTAATGTATATTATGACGGAGTCGGACATAATACACGAATCGTACACCCCGGAGGCTATCGCGGCCTTGAAAATATCCAGTAATGCACTTAAACTCTTGTGTTAATCCACAGTAATAAATATTATACATACATATGTATACACTGACTCACACGAATGGTTCCCTACTTTTTTCGAAAATCACTTATACCTATCGCGTACTTATATACAATGTGCAATATATAAAAAGAACCGGATCTCGCGTTTTAAGTCAGTACCACAGTTTCCAGTGTTCGTCGACAGAATCGCACCAGAAAAATTGTTCAACATGAACGCACCGTTTTACGTAAGTGCCGGTCAAGACGAGCGTTTTTTTATATAAACGAGTACTTTTTTTTTGTACGGGAAAACGATTAGTGAAATTTAAAAAAAAAAAAAATTAGATCTAGTTGTTGTATTTTCGGGGCCGTGTTAAGCTTTTCATTTGTAGTTTTATTAATGATCGGGAAAAATTTGTGGAAAACGTGACGATTTACGAAATAACGATCTTACTTTTTTATTTTGTTGTAGTTCAGTTAAAAATAATCGTAGATACCCGAAACATTCATTAATTCCCTATATAATATTAGTACTTTGTATGTGTGGTATAATTTTTAAACCGTGCCGGCGATTTTCGAGCTATTTGTAGAGATTTTGAATTTTCGAGTTCTTTTTAATTTTTATTTGGTTTGTTGTGAAAACTTTTTAACTTCACAAAAAGGCTAGATGATTGTATACAAGGTTAATCGTAAATTATTCTCGTTTATTGTTCGAATTTCAATGAAAATAGTAAAATCACGACATTTCGCCTAATTTCCGATTCATGTAAATATAATTGTTGACAAATTTTCAAAACCTTGAGTAGAAAAATTTATTGTTATTTGCTTTGTAGTTCCAAATAAATTCAGTTTTTAAATATTTAAGTTTATCACAACAAACTTCGCTCACAATCATTTTTTGTTTGCTGCAATTCATTGTTGCGTACACAATTACTGATTTAAATCAAATTAATCTGATATATTATATCCTATCTAGATTTTTTAATGTATTTATTATTATTATTATAGTTTGTTGCTTTGGCCATGGTTATGGTTGTAGCGTCGGCTGAAGAATTACGAAGTAAAAAAGAAGCCGTCTACAATCCTTATACGCAAACCGCAGGTAAGACGTTTTATTTCAATTTAATATAATACAATTCAAAATTTAGGGGAGAAAAATTCGCATAATTGTTGACAACAAAAAACCAAATATTTACATACATATCAAATCAATCAAGTTTCAATGAAATGCTCTTCTCGAACTTGTATTGGAAAACTTATAAATAGTTATAATACCTGCTATACGAAAAGTACGATATACGTACGTAGCATCGGAAAAAACGACGAATAGGTGTTCCGCCGGTTTCGGTCACCCGGACCCGTGTTAAGTATATTAATTAGAGACTTTATCCAAAACGTTACTGAGTTGGTTTCCAGAGATTTGCGTGGTTTTAGGGATTTTACAAAACATAACCTACAGCTGGTCCAAAAACAATACTGTTTCAAGCAAGTAATTTATAGTGCAGTGGTGGCTCGTGAGCTTTATAAGCGACAAAGCAGATATTATGAAAATAACAAAGGGTGTAAAAGAATTAATATGCACGGGAAGCTAAATAATATACACAGAAATAGAATCGAAAATAGAAAACGAGATGCTGCGTATGGTTAATTATTACTTGTTGATTTTAAGCTTTAATAAATTCGGAAATTATTTCGATAATTTAAAACCATTTAGTAGGTGTTTTTAAGTAACGGGCACATAATTATTATTTTTCCTAAAACCGATCAATAGCTTACTATGTTTTGAACAAAATTCAATTTGAGATTTTAGAAAGATGGCATTTATTATTAACTACCTGGGCGTATTTTTTGAATTTACGTTTATATCGCCGATGTTTTTATAACCAATTCTTTGCATCTGTAATTTTCGGTTTTTCTTCACTTACATATGTCATTTAAACGTGATCATTGGTTTGGTTTATTTTGATATTGTATTTCGTTTATTTTCAAATATTCATGCGTAAACTTTTTCAAGGAAAGTTTTATCAATAACCTGTTGATGTCGCAAAACCGATACTAAGTAATAGCGTAGTTTTTACACTTGATAACTTTTTTTTTTACACTTCTAGGTCTTAGTTTCATTTCGTTAAACAGTCGATTTCCCTATCATATCATGTATATTAAAATATTATTGTATTGTGAAAACCGTAAACGAAACGGCGCCTCACTTGCTTCATGTGACGAGCCACCATTGATGTATATACGGTCCTAAGCGTAAACGTAAAATCTACCGCTGCCTAGTCGGTGAAAAACCACGACGACATAATATTACCGCCGGGGCCGAACTTTGATGAGACGCGTAATCACACAAGTCCCCCTTCCATCTCGGGATTTGGCAATTACGACGCGTCTTTTCTGTCGATTCGATTTATTTGTACAGAAACGTCACCGATTTGTTTTACTCGTCACGTTCAATCGTACATCTTGTTGAGAACCCTTGAATACGCGTATTATAGAGATACAAGCTCGCTGTAAATTCCACGGTGGAAACGTACATTTTACAGACGATTTTTTACCGTTCCTAAAGTCGTGCGTACCCTCATTTTAAACGATTTCGCAAATCATATTTTACATTTATTCAGGTACCTTATAGTCCATACACACAATATAAAATATACTGTATTAGGTGATTTCGTGAAAATTGTTTTCTTATGACGTGAACGCGCCGTAAAACTGCAGATTTAAGCTATATTGAGTTTTTTTCTAATAAATTCCGTTAATTTGATGTTGTCGCAATACATCGTATTAAAATTTGAAACTTAATTATTATATATTATTAGATTTCTTTAAAAGTATAAAATTAATCGAGGTACTTAAATTAAAAAAAAAAAAAAAAACAATATTACATACTTCACGTTCTTTATTTACATTTTATACTCGTATTAATATGTTTTATATTATTTCTATTAAAACAAAATCACCCGATTTATCGACAATTTTTTTTTTACGTTCACATATCTCTAAGGCTATGTATTTTATAATATGTGGTCGTGAATCTCGAGTGAAAAAAATTGAAGAGCTCATTGTAACAAGAAGAGTCAAAAATTAGTTCCGTGATTTTTCGAAAAGACGATGATAAGGACTTGTCCGGTTTAACCGAATTCCGGGCGAAATTAAGACGAGTCCCTACAATTTAAGCGGATAGTTTTTTTTTTTATTTTTTCTAAACAATTTCGGAGAGTGGACTTGTCTTGTTGTTGTACCGAACCCTCCAATTACGACGTAGTGCAGTTCGCTTAAACCGACGATAGTTATCCAAGTATCGGATCCGAGTATCCGAGAGTGTATTATTATTGTATGAGCAATCTATTCTCTTGTAATAATATTGTGTTTCTTCGATTGCGTTTCGCGATGTAAACGGCTCAACGGTATAGAATAACATCGTGGAAATTTGTTTTGTCGTTCACGCTAACGATTCGACGGATATCGAATGAAACGGTTGAAAAAAAAATAGTCATCCAAGCCTGAAACAGTGTAACTCGGTCAGTATTATGTATATATTGTATATAACTTGTATGTTATAGACGCGTATTAACAAAAAACAAAAAAACCAGACCATGACTGTGTTCGATTTTGTATAGGTAAATTATTTTATAATAATATTCAAAATTAAAACTGTCAATCGTTGCAGTGTCCGTCAAATCGTCCGAAAACGGTAAACCTAGGTATTACAGATTGTAGAACAAAGACAACAAAAAAAAAAAAAACGATTAATAGTATTCGTTATATTATTATTATAATGTGTCGTATACGAATAATTAAAAAAGAAAATTACCAATAATTATTGCTGTACAATTTGATCGGTAAAAATAGTTTTTTCCGTTAAAATACCGCAATACTGTAAACAATTATTCGTCATCGAATCTTATTGGCTGGGTTTACAGATAAAAAAATGCAACACATTTCAAATGGGTACTACATACATTCGCTCGTTATTATAATAGTATTATAAGAGCTTGCGCATTCGAGGTCATAATATTATTATTTAATTGATGAAAATAAAAATTAAAAAAAAACGTGTTTTCAATTTAATTATATTATTTGCAAGCACATTTAATAATTAAAAGAAATATATTGTACAATTTCAAACCGGGAAATTCAATTTACAAGTTCGATTCGATTCGCATTTTTCGAACCGAGTTATAATACTGATAAAGTGATAAGTTATAGTAATCGTTTTATTTTTTTTAATTTTACGTTTTCATTTTCAAACACCTATAAATACGACGAGTGCACTTTATAAAGCGTCTCATTTTTCTTTCTACACTAATAAATTCGTGTGAAACGTATTTGTATATTGATTTTTGAAAAATTGATAAAACTATAATTAGTAGCTATGTTATTTAACGATTTACTACCTATTTAAAAAGTTGTTTAATATATTTTACTCCTGTGAACTCATCTGCGACACATACTAAATGTTTTTAAAAGTTTGTCGGTATTATTGTATGTTTGACGTCTTTCAAAAACCTATTAGACTTAGTTTTTGACACAAATCGAGTTTTAAATTTTGCAGTGCTCCTACATTCGCCATTATGTGCATAAAATAAACTTTTGCGTTAAATCGCAAACTCGACACGTGTAAGAAAATAAAGGTATTAAATAATACAATAAGATGGTCTAAAATAGTTTTGATCAAAGTTTCCATAAACGAATATCGAGCCGGGACTTTTAAAACGGCCGATATACGGATGATATTCGATTCGGAAAATTTTTTTTTTTCTTCTTTATAAATGTTAGTAATTTTTTTCGTTTTCAGACGCAAAACTATATTCAAGCGGACAGAATTACTATCAACCGACGCACACGCAGTATTATCAATCGGCTTACCCGTACAACCAACAGTACTACAGCGACTACCAGCGCACCGGCCTTTATCCGTACAACGCGTACCAACAGTACGGATACCCCGCAGGTCAGTACGGGTATCCCGCGAGCCAGTACGGTTACACCGGTCAGTACGGTTACACCGGTCAGTACGGTTACCCCGCAGGCCAGTATGGTTACGCGGGTCAGTACGACCCGTACGCCTACCGTGGCGGTGCGTATTCGGGTTACCAGAGCACGCCGAGCTACTACGCCGCCCCTGTGTCGCCACTGGTCGTCCGACAGGCACCGCCGTACCCGAGTCCCGGAGCCCAGCCGATCAATCCGCCCGTGCCGCATCCGTTTTACCACACGGCCGGTACCTATTACCCGTTGACCACCACCACGACCGAAGCTAACAAACCGACCGGACCGAAGTAAAACTTCAAAAAAAAAAAACAACATAGTCTAAAGACGATTTTAATATTATAATTCATTATTATTATTTTTTTTAAACACACATTTGTATAAATACGTAATACGGAATTCTATAATAATATGCGTAGTTAATATTACGCGCTACACTAATCTGTCTACGAAAACATTAATCGTAAAAGAGCTACTTAGTTATATTACAATAATGTATAAAATAACAACAACGATAACAATGATGATTTTTTTTAACAATTCCGATTCCGGTCGAAGCAGACGCGGTTCGAACAATAAAATTACAAAATTATTTAATTCCGTCGCGAAATATTGTCGAACTCGCTTTAACCAAACAACTAAGCTAACACGGATTATTATTTTTATTATTATTGTTGTTTGTTCGAATTGAAAAAGCACTTTTGTATTCGCGGTTTTTATCAACACGCTATAATATTATTAATATTTTTTAATTTATGCAAAAACAATATATACAAAAAAAAAAAAAAAAATAATAATAATACAAAATAATAAACACAATACTATTCTAATAATAATTAAATTAAATGTACACGGTTTTGTTTATTTCTTTATTATTTTATGTTATAAAATATTCAGTTCTGATGGTTTTATTTTGTTGAAGATTATATTAATAATACATTGATTGCGTCAGACACAAATTTATACGAAAATTTCGTATAATAGAAACGTACTCCGGTAATAATGTTCGTTTTCCGCGCCGGGTCAAAAACATCGTCTTGACGTCATCTCGAGGTCACGTTTTCCCTTTGTTTTTCGGAAATCTAGATTCGAAATCTGTTATGTTTTTGACCGATTTTATCAATTTACTTTCGGAGGGTTCTTCTTCGTCAAAGGATTCGCCTATTTCGCTCATAGGTTCATTCATTTCGCCCATTTCGTCCAGTCTGTGTTCTTCCATGTCATCTTCCACATCTTGCTGAAACGGTTTCTCGGTCTCGGATTCCACGTCCTCGTTTTCCGGACTTTCCTTCACGTCGTAACCGGTGCTGGGCTTGACCAGTTTCGGCGGCATTCGAGAACCGTAATTATACATCGTGCCCGTCGGCATTGGCGCGTAGTACAAAAGCTTTTTAAAATGTGGTTTCTTCGGTTTGTGACAGTGTTCGTTGTGCCCTTTGTGTCCCTTGTGTTTCGGTTTCTTTTTGGGTTTTTTCGGCTTGTGGCCGTGTTTCTTCTTGTGCCCTTTAGGGCCACACGGCTTGCACCTAGGTTTGTGTTTCGGTTTTACCGGAGCATGGGGTCTGTGCGGTTGGGGACGGTGGTGGTAGAAAGGTCTACGGGGTATAATACGTGCGGGCACTCTACGGGTCAGCAACACGGGCGCCAAGTGTCGGTTTCTAATTATGATACTGAGATCCCTCATCGGCCGAGCGGTTTTTTTCGGCGCATCGGTTTGCTCCTCGTTTATCGGATCCAGATCTTTGTCGAGTTCCCTCGGCTTCAACGATATGATCGAAACCTCTTTTACCCTTTTTACGTGCTCAAAACTGTCGCCATTGTCATTCTTCGGCACTTCCACTTTTTCGGGATCGCCTATGAATCTCTCCCCCGAATCCATTTCTTCCAGTCCGTCCGGACGTTTCGATTTTTCCGGTTCTCCGTATTCGTCGATTTCAGGCTCACGAATTGTTTGCGATCTAATTTTTGACGAATCGGTTGGCATCCAAGTATCTGATTCCGCGGACGAGTATCCATTCGGGTAGGAATTTTCTACTGATTTAAATCCATAGCTCCGTTTACTGAAGGCGTTCGGACCGTTTGTAGATTTTGCCTGCGAATCACTTGTATCCGTACTGTTCTGTTTAGTGTGCTCGTCGTTTAATTGTCGGCCGCACGCCAGTGCCGATAACCAAAACAAAGTCAACTGAAAACACATTTTGAACATGGTGTTTAAGACAAATGTTTGCAAAAATCGAAATTTTATATATTATATAATGTGTTAAGTATTGAAAAGTCGATACTGCTCTCAAGTAGGCCACTCCAGGAACGAATCCAGGATGTGATAACGGGGGGGGGTTATGATTTTGAAAAGTCACATTTATGATGCGTACAATAATGAATTAAACTAAGAGTATATTGCCACGGAATAGTGGACGACAAATAATTCATGATTTTCTCTTGTTTTCAATAAAAGTAAGTAAGAAATGAACTGGTTTTTATGAAAAACTTTTTTTCAAAAAGAAATGGTTTAAATAAATTACTGCCAGACAGAAAATACTGAGTGAAAAAATTGGAGCATTTACCAAGCCAAAAAAATTGTCCTCAAATAAAACATAAAAACAATGTTTTTGAAAAATTGGTAAAAATAAGTTAAAATAAATAAACAAAAAAACGCCTTTAAAGTTATGGTAAAAAAAAAGAAATCTGAACGTTTTAATTAGCTGAAAAAATGTTTATAAAATTATAAAATTATTAAATAACCATAGTGAAAAAAAATGTCTTACTATACTAAAAATCTAAAAAAAAAGACGAATTAAATTCTCGGCGTTTTTCTGAGTTTTAGATTTTGAGTGTTATTTTTACTATGATGTACGTGATTCTTTTTCTGTCTTTGAATTACATTTCTACCAGAAATCTTGCCCCAATCAAAATATGACAAGAGAACTTTTGTTAAATTTTTCATCTAATTTGTGTATTTGGGATGTTATTTTCTTCTAAGTGATTTTGACAGTAATTAAAAAAAAAACCTGGGAAACCCATACAAAATCTAACAAACTTACAGCGTGACGTTAACGATTCCAATATTTTACATATTTACGATTATTGTTTTTATCAGAAATCTTGCTACGAATTTAAAAAGTAGCATGATTTCTGAAAATAAAAACTTGTCTATATTGAAAAGTTATTTTTTTGATTTTTCTTGAAGTTTTAGAATAATTGATAAAAGAACTTAGAAAAAACTAAATAGTTTACGACATCAATAGTTTCATAATTTTTTAAATTTGGTTTTTTTACAATAAATCGGTTGAAAATAACCGAAGAAGAGAACTGAAAACTGTAAAGAATATTAATATCAACTTTTTTTAGATCTGGTTAAATTTTTAAGATATTCTATTGGTTTTTGAGACATTTGATATTTTTCGATCTTTTTTAGTTTTTATATTGTTACATGTAGGTAAAATTGGCTGAACAAAATAAATCTAGAAATTCAACACTAGATTTATTGTATGTTTTACCTAGTTTATGGTCAAACTAACAAATGTTGAGCGTAATGACATTTTTTTTATACACGTTTAGGGTTAAAATTTTTACGGTAAAAATAACGCGGCATTTCGCGTATTATTTTACGATTTATGTGAATATATGTGAATATAAGTTTTTGGCAAGTTTTCTTGTTTGGTAAAAATTAGTATTTCTCTACATATTTTAATGATTATTTAATAGTTTATTTAATAATGTGGTTTTTAGTGTATAGAATACATAATGGAATCGCATTAGGATATTATACCTATATATGACCAAATCTCAAATTTCAAACAGCTTTTCGACACGCTATATTACTATGACTGGCCAGCCCGGAATTGCCGGTGCCAAAAGAAATAATAACAAAATTATCATTTTGAGCGATAGAACGCTAATGTATGATTAACGAACAATGAACTGAGTAACCAGTTTCTATAGTAACTACGGTTCGTTGTACGTATCTCGGAGACAACTATCACGGCCCTCGTACGGACTCCCTTATTATTTATTTGTTTTATTGCATCCGTGTCACTAAGGTTAACCGTAAATCAACAAAAAGAATTCGATTTTCGTATCGAAAATATCGCTATCGTAGGGTACCGTATCGATAATAAAACAATGTCCGAATATTATAAAATACGGTCCGGAACCGGGTCTATGCAAAGTTTCGGCGAAATCCGTTCAAGTAGTTGGGAAATAGTTAAAAAAAAAACATTTATCGTTTGTCCAAAGAAACTTTCGCGTTCGCAATATTAACAGAACATTATTAATAACATACTCACCAATAGTCCCGTGTCCATTGTCAAACGCGACATTCATGACGACCGTCCGGTTCTGGGTCCAATGCACATGATCATTGTTTTTGACACGGACACCGTTTGTTGTACACTGTTACCGCGCGTATACTATTATTATTTTATCGATCGGTCCCCGGTCTCCGTTCCCCTGAGCAAATCGGTCCTGGGCTTCCACTTCCACAGCCGTCAAACGGACCGTGTCGGTGTTATAATTGCACAAAGGTTCGGTTTTCGGCGTTGTTTGGTTTGTTTTTTCACACGCGGATATATCTCGCGATATTATGTCACGTCGTCGTCGTCGTCGGTGGCTGTGATAATACGGTGCCGTCTCTCTCTCGGCTTCCAGCGCGTTAACGCGTCATCGAGGTACCTATCTATATACAATCTGTTTACACGTCTGTCTGTCTATATTATATTATGCCTGTATATGTACCACGGTATTGTTGGTATTGTTGGTCGTTTTGCCGTTTCGAACCGAAAAAATCGATAATGCGTGATGTAACTCGCCCGTCACTGCAGCCGCCGCCGCCGGTGGTGGTATTGGTATAATCGGAACGAAATTGCCGAAATTACGGAAACTGCGAAACCAACGGAAACTGCCGCCGCCGCCGCCGCCGGACGATAAAGTGCGAAAACGATCGTAACGCACAGCAGTCGTCGGGGAATCGTTTGCCGAGCATAAAACGATTTCGGGTCACGGACCCTGCGATATCGTATAAACTTATATAATTGTTACAGGGCGTCCCACGGAGATAATATGCCCGTCGCGTATTATCTCCGGAGATAGTAAAGATTATCAAATTATGTTTGTTTTTGCACTATTCGCAGGAATATTTATAATCGAATTACATTTTTGTAAAAAAAAAAAAAAAAAAACTAACTTTATTTTAGAAAGATTTAATGATAGCCATTTTATAAAGCTTATATTTTTCTGAACATTTTGACGTATCGACTTTTTATTTTCATTGAATTCGTGTTTTTTAATAAAAAAAATTTAAAGTTCAGAGAAAATAAGTGTACAGTCAATAAATCGTAATAACAATAATCAATTGGATAATGTGATTACATCCAGCTGCACAATAATTACAGCTATTTTTCTCTGAACTTTAAAATTTTTTATTAAAAAACACGAATTCAATGAAAATAAAAAGTCGATACGTCAAAATTTTCAAAAGAATAAATAAACTCTATAAAATGGCTATTTTGAAATTTTCCAAAAATAAAATATAATTCTTTAAAATTTTTTACCAAAACATGAAACAGTTGTAATTCTTATCCCATTGAGTTACATGAAATAAAATCATAATTTGATTATCTTTATTATTTTCGGAGATATTACAATGGATATATTTTCGTGGGACACTCTGTATGATATACAGTTATACAGTACATACATACACCTGATATAATACAGCGTGATTCGAACGTCTTATTCCGATTACGAATAGCTATGGTTCGTCAGCCGCAACAGTCAATCACAAGTGAACGACCTGTATACTGCAATTTCGACCTGTACGGGTATCCTACGAAGCACGGCTGCGTATTGCTTATGACTAAATCAGGTATATGAGGTATTTTATCGTAACTCATAGCTCGTAAGACGTGTTTTATTAGCTTTGTTAGTATATACACATTGACGTGCCCGGGAATTTTGCAAAGGGTGAAAATGTAATAAATAATAATCAGGTTTCGTCGTGAATAAACCATAGAATCTTCTTCTGTTTTACCTATCTAGATAATGAGGATTTAAAAGCCAGATTATAAAGACAGATTTTTATTCAATGAATCAAAAATTTTTCTTGTACAAAAGCCGCGAAATATGTACTTTTAAGATTAAACTACTAAATAAATACTCACGATTATTGTGTTTGTAAGTGAATAATGGAGAGGGGTGTAACATCTAAACTCCCCGTCTGTGCATGCCACTGGTTGCAAGAAGGTTTTTTCGATTTTACCGAAGTGTTTTCCATTAGAAAGATAAAATATTCGAGTTTAATATCCAAGACGCAACACGGCGTTTTTTACTTCACTCCACCGCTGTATCTTAATTTTTAAAATAAATACCAGTTTTTGAAATCGGGTGAGGACTTATATGAATCACACTGTATTATCAGTGCAATACACACTGGGAGATCTACGGAGTAACCGCCAAAACGAAAATTAATGATTCGGTAGAAAATTTTCTTAGAAATCGCTGATGGAGACGAACGTGTTTTCGTCTAAAAATAACACGAACACACTGACGGACACTTCCTAAAACATGTTAAAATGCACAGCGGTAGTCTGACACGTTATTATAATCATTCTTAATAGTATTATAATAATTCGCATGTATGAAAATAAAAAAATAAAATATTCTTTGACGTGCAAATTAAACAGTGTTTTTACGTATATTATACAGAGAAAAAAAAATGATTGAAATGTCGTTATATTGGTCACAGAATAACTTTTCGATACATTTTTTTTTTTTCAAACAATTCGTTTGCGTCATAATAATATTGCGGTAACTAAATTTGTATTAGCCAACTATTGACGTTTTGTGGTCTAACATCGGAATTTCGTAGACACTATAGTAATATACAGTGTGTTGACTTTAGTAAGTAATGGTGAATATTTCTCTCGAATGACCTTGAATTTGAATTATGTTTTCGAGAGTTGAAAGGGAGTACTGAAATGCAATAGCGATAATTTCAAATGTTTTACCAATTCGGTGCACGCGTGCGCATTACAAATTACTGTTTTTGAATAGAAACATTTATTCTTGTCGATATTACAATGCATTATGTAGTTTTTAACTTTTGATTTTTTATTATTTCGAATAATTTGTTTACCACAAAACAGTCGTCGAATTCGTTCATTTTTAAAGGAATGCATTTTAAATTATTTGAAAATCGATAAAAAAAATAAAATTATACTTTCCCAATATTGGCCACGAAATATTTTTGATAAGTCACGATGAAAGAAAAATTTTTTGAAAATAATATAATAAAACAGATAAAATAAAAAAATATATTAGTAAGAATAATAAGAAAATAAGCAAATGTGATAAATCGAAAAAACATGAGGAAAAACTGAAAATGTACGAAATATAAGTATTAAATAAAACATATTACGGTCTACTTTTTTCCTGTTAACAACTTTTCTACCAGCAATTTTGTTCTGATTTACAATGATAGCATTTTTTCTGAAAGGAAATCCGACTAAGAATGTACTTCATAAGAAGATCATTTTTTCGATTTTTTCATGAGTTTTCCAAGCAAATTATATAAACCGGGAAAAAACGAGACAATATTAAATAAATATTATTAAAGAAAATTTATAATTCCTATTTAATTATTTTACCATAATTATGACAGATATATATTGTTGACGAAGCAGCACTATTAACTGAAGTCCGCTCAGAATCGGTTTTATGTTAGCAATGGTTCATCGTTACTTACAGATATACATAAAATTCCTTTCTGTATCCTACATTCCCAACTTCCCACGTACAACAGTGGCTGTACCCCTATTATTCTATGGCAGACTCTTTTAATATGGGTCGCATACCCCAAAAATACTAAATATGTGGGTCGCCATAACAAAAAGGTTGGGAACCATTGGTATAGTACACCAGTGTGTTTATGTGTGATTGTGATGTTTCACATGTATCGTTTATTTGCGTTGAGACATTTATCGAGAGGTTATTCTATCAAAAAATAGAATAAAACAAATTCAATTTACAATATTCTGACGTTGTTTACTCAGACTTTCGCTTTTACTTCGATATTTGCTGTCTTTTAAAATGAAATGTGACGAACAAAAACCATCAGTTTTCTCATATATTTATAAAGTAAATAAAGTTATTTTTTCGTATAACAAATATAATGTAAATAATTTAATATATTATTTTGTTACGCACATAATAGACTATTTTATTGTTCTTAACCTAACAATATATAAAAAAAAAAAAAAAAAAATACTTGGAACGACGACGATATAATAATTATCACGAATAAATTTTAATTGCGACACAAATTGTTAAATAGTAAATTTTTCAAATCATTTTTTTTTCATTTTATAACACAACATTCAAATTTTATAAAATAAGAGTAAAAATGTTTAAAAAAAAAAAACGAAAAACATCATGTTTGGTATAAACGTTTGTTGATTACATGTCCAGGAAGTTTGACAATTCGATTTTTTTATATTTATATACCCATATATATATTTTTTTTATTGAGTTATCACGTCATTATTAGGTATAAACCAAAAAATTAACGGGTTATATAATCCGTAAATAGGAACAATTTTATATGTAATATCAAATAGTTATATAAGATCACGCATACAATTAATTAATTTAAAAAAAAATAAAAAGTAACATGATTCGGCGTTAACCCAGATACTCGGAGAATAATATGGTTGTGGAGTGATGAAGACGTATTAGATTACAAAACAAAATAAAACGGATGGTTGAGTAATTTTTGATTGAAAGTATTTTACAAAAGTATAGATAAGTAATTAAAAAAAAATAAAAAAAAAAAGGCACAATGAGTAATTCACTGTTTTAGTTGGGAAGTCGGGGAGGTAGGATGATTAGACTAGATAAGTATTTTAAATGTATGTCTGTAATGCAAAACGATTAATCACTGCTAATGAAAAACGATTCTGAGTGGATTTCGTTTAAATATATTTTGATAAACTTATATTGAAAATGATATCGATTTTTAACGACAAAAAAATTACATTGACTGTACATTTTTTTCGCCTCGATTTTTCGAGCATTTTTGTGAAGCGAAAAAAACTGTGTTCAAATACATCGGAGAAAATATCATTTGCCACGATTTTTACGATATCCACCAACTTTAAAAGTCTTATAAAAAAAATAAAATCTTGACAATACATTTTCAATATTTGTATAGCGTCATTAGAAATACTTATGATGAACCTTGTATACTATTTTCAAACAATTTCGAAAAGTTAACAAACTGTTATGTCACATTAAACTAAACAACAAACTTAAATAGCTCGAACATTTTTAATGTAAAAAAATAACACTCAAAAATTGCTGGGATTTTTCGATTAAATTTTACCACTTATAGAAGAAGCGTATACAAATAATTAATGATCATTTCTGGTCATTTTGATTATTTTGAACTGCATTAGAATAAAATAATAATAATGAAAAAAAAATGCACAATAGAAAATAGTAAAAACCGTTAATTATCATGTATACAATATGTAACCTTTTTTCCCAATATTATTGAAGAAAACCAAACAAAAAATAACCTCCTAAAGTCACTATGTAAAATTTAATACCAGAAACTGTCATAAATCACCATTGATTCGGAGCCAGATTTCTGGTAGACAAGCCGTAAATAGACCGAAAAAAAAACACATCATATAGTAAAACCAATCAATGCATAATAGCTTAATTGCTAAGTCGGATTAACGCCTCAAAATGTTTAATTAATTTCGGACCAAACGTCTTACGAAACCGACGATCGTGTTTCGTGTACAATCGTTTAACACACGATACGATATGATACAGAGCGAACATTTAACGGGATTGCTGCGGGTCTTTATGTTAGTAGGTACACGAAACGCGGCGTCTAATGAACGATCTTCACTTCATTAAACGCTGCAAGATAGAATATAATCGCGAACGTACACTATGATGGTAAAGTTAAACGCCGATTTTGTCCACGACAGTCATTCTATTGTTGTTACGACGGAAGCGACTAAGTGCCTACGGAGTTAATTAGAATCTCCGATTTTCGTACGTTGTAATATTTTCTGTTATTTTTCTAGTAATAACGCGAACGTTTTATTTATTTATTTATTTATTTTTGGTTATTGCGTATTTACAATATAATATTCACAACACGCCTGATTGGGCGGCCTAATTATTCAGTCACGATACATAACAGACCGTTATAGAGCCGAATGGATACCCCATTAAAGATGTGTTTTTTTTTTTTTTTTTTTGGCTGAAAACGTTTTTAAGATTATTAATAAAAAAAGGAAAACTACTTCAAACCTTAAGATTCGTAATCGAATAATTACAATAAGATAATGGATATTTTATCACACGTTTTCACATTGGGATAGAATGAAATCTAGTTTGCCAAATATAGTTTTAAATATTATGTTGATAAAATCCGAATAATAAAACGAATGATCAATCGATCATTTTTTTTTTTTTTTTTTTTTAAATATTTAAGAAATAAGTAGCTCTAAAATATTAGATTACTCTTGTGTTTGTCACCCTTATTTTAAGGGGTAAAACCACTAACAACGATTGGTTTTCAAACGGCAACTATTTAGGTTATTTTACAAATTCGATAAATAATAATAGTTTATTTTTTAGCAGTATTGATGTCTACAATATTGGTACATAATATGTTAGTATTGCACTGCAACGTCTCGAGAGACGATAAAATCCTCGTATTGTGTTCAGGGCCGTCGTGAGAAATTTTCCGCCCTTCGGCAAACATAATGTCACCTCTTCCGTTAAAATAAAAATATATAGTACACAATTTGAATACATAATTAATATAATGAATAATAACACTTGAATTTGATTATGAATTTCTGTAGGTTTCAATAAAAATTGTGTGAAACTTCCTACTTGATTATCAATACATTTTTGTTTAGCTTCTCTAATTTTCTTATATTTAAACCCAGAAAGCCATTTCTGTGATGCCATGATTAATATAAAAAAATGTTTTTAAATAATGTTCAATCCTAATAATTTTATTAGCCTAAAAATGTACATGAACCAATGATGAATATATAATTTACTAATTATGATACAGTGGTGGAGCTAGGGAGAAGGTGTAGGAGGCGCGAACTTTCCTAATTTGATTGAAAAAAAATGTTCCATAAAATAATTGTGTAAGAGCATAGGTACGACGCTTTTTTGTACCTTAAATTGTCGTCCGGCGGCCTGTAAAAGAAGTGTGTACCATTTTTTTTTTTTTGTTTAATATGACGCCAACGAAATTAACTCGAGACATCTATTTTCTATAGAGTTTCGTGAATAATAATTAAAGTCAATTTTGAATCGTTCGAAATGATTAGAAAACAGAAGACCTACTTCTAAATAATATCGCCGATGTTTTGTTATTCTGAAACACTCAAATTGACCAATCTATTCAGTATAATATTATTATTGTGCCTAACTATTAATAAAATTGTGAAAGCTACACCGAGTTAAAAGAAATCGAATTAAAATCACTGTCGCGAACACTGTTTATTTTTCATAGATAATATTGTAATACAATAAATGCAATAATTTAAATTTAATAATATCGTTGTCAGTTCGGCTAAAGCCAATCCGTGTAATGTTTCGATAAATTGAGCAGTTTTTAATGGGAAATTGTGCTTCAGGTACGAATATCTCGCGATACTTTTCATATATCGTTCTAGACAATGTTCTGGAAACATCATAAGCAACATAACTTTTAAGTAACTACACATCGACGATCAAACCAATAAATACATATTAGTAGTTTATTTGCACTATGGATTAATTTGTCACTAGTTTAGTCAGTAGCCGCGACTAGAAATTTATTATGGGGCGTGGTCAGTGAGGTAAAATGACATCACAATTACGTCATATACAATAGAAATTGATACAATTTTCCTTATTGATTCCTTAAGAGATTTTAAAGTAAACCGAGTGTCAAAAAAAGGTTAGATAATGGGGATGGATGCACCAATGGGTGTTGTTGGGGAATTGGGTAGGTAGGATATAGACGGGAATTTAATGGATATCTGTAAGCAAAGATAAATCATTGTTTAGGAAAAAACGATTCTGAACGGAATTCAGTTGACAGTGATGCTTTGTCAACAATATATATGTCATTTTATAATTATATAATTAAAAGTCTTTACACAGTTTCTTTAATAAAATTCGTTGAATGTTGTACCAATTTTCCCAGTTTTCCCATGTTTTATCCCGGGTTTTCACATTTGCTGAGAAAACTATTGAGAAAATCGAAAAATGACCTCTCCACTCCGATTACCTTTCATAAAAGGTGTTACTTGTAGAAATTCAAGCAAGTCTTCTGGTAGAAAAGTTGTACACAGATAAAAAAAAAATAAACATCTTGGTATAACCATAAACTTTTTCGCTCCACTCAGAATCTAAAACAAATGGTCATACATCATACGATCGGTGAGCCAATATTGTAGAAGAGAAGTTAGGAAGGTGGAAGGTGAAATTTAATGTATATCTGTATGCAATGATTAATCATTGCTAACAAAAAAAGATTCTGAGCGAAGTTCTGTTGTATACGTAATTTGAAAGGCTATATTTACGATTTGAAAATAATATTTTTTGTAAATTTTCCCGTTTTTCCCTTGTTTTTTCCATTTATTATGAAACTTCGGGAAAAAATAACAACCTCACATAAATTTCCTTATATAAAAGGTGCTACACTTAAAAATCAGAGCAAAATTTCTGGTAGAAAAGTTGTTCACAGAAAAAAAATATGTATTCCTCACTCCAATCAGAATATAAAACTATTTTCAACAAAACGTATTTAAGTTGGAATTTCGTTATTATAACACGTCTTTATATCATTATTTACTTCGCTCATCTTTTTCGTAACTTCAATTTCCTTAGAAATCTTATTTGTGGTAAAATCGATTCTCTTCCCATAGTTATTTTCAGTAATATGCACAATATATTTTAGTTGAAACTGCAATTTCACTATGACCTACGACTTAGGTACTCTCTAATATCTCCCCCTTATATACTCAACTAATACATACGAGGACAATGAGTAGGTACATTCACTAAACAAATATATAAATATATTAACATATAACATTATAACATTATATGTATATATAACAAATATATATACATAGTGATCTATTTATCACAATTGAATGATTTTCTCCGAGCATTTTAGTGAATTTGATTTCTGTTTTCTTTTTTAATCGTTACAGAATCGTTTAAGTTTTATTTTTAGCTAAAAAAAATTTTTTTTTCGTAAACAAATTTTCTGCCATACATTTTGCTCCAATTTTTCAAGTGTATCACTTTTTCCGAAAGGAAATTTGACTGGGGTGGTAATTTTTTGATTTTTTTAACTGTTTTTATAACAAATGGGAAAATTATGAAAATTTACGAAATCTATTATTTTCAAATCGTAAATATTAAAGCCTTTCAAAACATGTATAATTTGAATTTCGCTTAGAATTGTTTTTCGTTAGCAAAGATTAATCGTTGTGTACAGATATACATTAAATTCTCCTCTATATCCTACTTTCTCAACTTTTCATCTGCAATAGTGGCCCATACTTTGTGCAAATAGTATGTCTGTATCTTTTCTTATTATTTTTCTTATAATTAACTTATATAGAACTAACCGATATTTATACCGATACATTATCCGTTTGCATTTGCGGAGAAGCACTTCGAACTTTCCGGAATTTATACCGTGCTTTACTACGTCACCGACTCTCGTTTTGCCGACAAATAAACCAGTTTTATTATTATTTTGAATTGAAACATTACTGTTGTAATACAATTATTATTACTCTTTAATTCCAGCAGTATGGGCTAAGGTGAGTATATACATTTAATATTATCGAGAATACAAAAACTATTGACAATAGGTAATCAACGATCAGATAGATGTTCAAAAGAATTTTTCTTATAATTTAGTAATTCAAGTTTAGTACGGTTTTGCAGTTTAATACAGTGACAATTTTAGAGACCTAGTGTAATCCTTGCAAAAACGACAACGAGATGTTTTAACATGGGCTATAGTGTGATGGAGTCATGAATAGGTGTACTCCAAGTAACGTACGTCACAGGTAAATATTAACAAAAGAAAAACTGTATTGTTGGCAAAGCGGGAATTTGGCGAATTGGGGTGTCGGCGATATGGGAATAAACCGTCCGTTTATCCGAACGAAACTAAATCGGGATTATAGTTTTCTATTCGATTGTAACGTTTATAATACATAATAATATAGTGTCGTTATACATGCAATTAAATTATAATCCATAATTTTTACGAAATTTAATTTTTGCACGTGTTACTACAGATGTAGAGGAAAAAAAAAACTTATCACGCCATTATTATTTTACATAATATGCCTATATAATATTATTATAAAACTCTTGTAGGCGAATACGGCTATAATACTTAAAAATACGATTAGCGTTTGGCCAATTAAAAGGCAATATAATAATATAATATAATACGTGTGTATACATTATATTTATAGGTATATTACGATAAACTAAATAAAGATAAAAAAAGAAGACCGCGTTATAGAGTGAAGTGGTTGGAACTATACGCCATCGCACACTATACACTATTATGACGACGGGCTCTACCGCGACGATGTTATAAACAAAATAATAATAAAAAAAAAAAAAATCCGATTATTTATACGTACGCGTCTATTATGGTAAAATGTAATATACACTCGGACGCGCTGGTAAATCGATGCATTATTTACACGAATATTATATAAACAACGTGTGCGGTTATTAGTACGCGGTAATTGAAGTGCGTGCGATAGGGACTTTTACGCGGACCGTACTTTTACGGGTATAGTGGTCGGATAACTTGGGGGTGGCCCAAATTTTATAACGAACGATTTCACTTCGGGATAAATACTAACGCGGTGAACGTGTAAATATACGCGTTACCGAGAAACGGAGATAAGACGGTTACGCGCGCGGACGAGATGAACGCTAATCCAAACAAAAGCCGAATTTTTTTAAATTTTTTTGTCAATTTCCAAAAGAGGCTTAAGAGAAGACGGTGTCGCGACTTAAATTTTTAACTCTAAATATCTAAGTAAGTACATAAAAAAATATGTAAATAATATTTTTGTGAAAATTGGAAGTGTGAAAAATTGGTATATAAATAATAGTGTTGAGACATCAAAAAGAAAAAAAATTACGAACGTACTTCACACGTGAACGCAGCCACTTTTGTAGGTAGGAAGTTGGGAAGGTAGGGTACAGACGGGAATTTAATGTATACCTGTAAGCAACGATAAGCCATTGTTAACGAAAATTCTGAGCACAGTTCAATTGATAGTGTTGCTTTGTCTTATTATGGTAAAATGATTACAATGTGCGTTTCCATGACAACAATGACTATTTAAAAAAGATTTTAATAAATCAATAAAAATTTAATAATAACAAAAAATAAATAAAAACGGTTGTCAATGACAACCTTATTTTTAATCTGTCAATCTTTTTTAAACTAAAGAACCAGGTTTTCTCCGTTATCCCGAATATTAATAAAAATTTCAAAAATGACCAAGAAAATGTACTATACTTGATAATCGGAGTAGAAAAAGTGTTACATAAAATAAAAAATAAACATCATTGTAAAACCAGTATATTCCACGTTCCACTCAGAATCTAAAAAAAATAAATTACATCATGTAACATAATAAATCAATATAAAGTGTAGTAGCCGCTGGGTTACTCCTTTTATCAAGTAACTCATGTCAGTATTATTATTATCTAGCACATATTTTTATTGTAAAATTAGTTTACAGATTGTAGATTTAAAAAGGAAAAAAACAATAATAATAATAATAATAAAACGAACTACGTGTTATTAAAGTGAATTTAAGTAGGCGTAAATTAAGTATTTCGAATTTTCAAGAAAATAACAACACTCGAGTTAGGTTAAATTTTAAAAGTTACTTTTTATTTAAAAAAAAAAAAAAAAAAAACAACACTATATTACACTCATAAACTAATATGATTATACTTTTATGGACTTACTCTGTACGTACTGCAAGACTCGGTGTGGGTATTTCACTGTGAATTCCGTTTTATTATATTATATAATGATAATACTTAAGAAAAAACACGCGTAATGTTTGTCGAAACAAATAAAAGAATCAGTTTTTACACAAAACAATTTGTATATATCTTTTTAGAAATAATGTAAGTATCTGTACTTATCGTGGTTGAGTAATGTCATCATGAAATAATACTGGCACTCTAAAATACGGTATTTGATAACGATTTATAACGTTCGAATCGAGTAAGATTTGGTTTTCCAATTTAATGTGGATAAAGTAGCTATAGTCTATACAGAACTATTCACTAATCGTTCTCACCCGGTTTTTTTGTTAAATTTTGTGTACATTCAAATTCTGATTTATGTAATTTTCAAGTGTAGTTAAAGTTGATATTTTCGAATTCTCAGATTTTTCACAACATTTTAAGCAGTATCCTGTGGCGATCCCAACTTTGATTTTTCAAATAAGAACCTATACTAAAAACTTCATAAATATACGGAGTATTAGTTTAAATAATTGTTGGTGTTCAAATTTTTGATTTTCGTCAACCCGTTGACGAGGTATTCCACTTTTAAGTATAGATAGGGGGAGAATTGTGACGCACTAATAAAACATTACTCGCTGTGCCGCTATACAAATAATACCCCACTAATTTTCGGCTACTTAAATTTAAAAATTGAACATCTCGTCACAGGAAATGTAAAAAATCTTAGTGTTTTTAAAATATCGGCTTGAATATACATTTGAAAATTTCAAAAATAAAAATTTGAATACATGCAAAATTTAACTAAAACAATGGTGTGAGCACGCCTAGTGAATAGCCCTGTACAGGTTAGGTATAATGCTTTTAATTATATTTGATTTTCCTACATCATAAACGTATACACATTATTTATTAATGTGGTAAAGCAAAAAAGAAAAATATATTTTTTCTCTCGTGGTGCCAATGAGAGTGAAATTTTTGTTTGCGCGAATAAAGCGAATAACTCTGAGCGACCGGAGAGAATATTGAAAAACAAAAATCCGTCTGTACCGTCCGACGCGTATTTCGGTATAAGATACGCGCGGTTATCGCCCGGCGCCCGTCGCAATGTATAGCGTGCAATATACGAAAAAAAGCGAGAATAAAAGAACATTTTTTTTTTTTTTTTATTGTTTTTTCATTATTTACTGGGATTCTCCGACGCGCAGCCGCCACCGTGGAAAACACGACATCAAAAGAATTCGCGGGTAAATTGCGGCGCGGACGATCATACGGTCGAACGAGCAAATACGAATAGGTACCGCGGGGGGGATTCGATACGATCTCGCGCGAATGGTTTCCAGCCGGGCGACGGAGACTACTGCGCGAGACAAACGATCGCGGGAACAAAACCACTAACCCGACGACACGGGGATAGCCGGCGGCGTGCCGAACGATATATTTACAAAACGGTACAACAATAACGTAAGATGCTGGGCGGGCGATGAGACGGAGGAGTGATAGGCCTTGGACCCGCGTGACTAATATCGTTTTTGTCGGCGGCGGCACACCCGTTTTGGTCGCGAGTCGCGGGCTTTGGCGGAACGGGGTTGGGAGGGAGCACCGGAAAACGTTTTCCGGTTTACCACGCCGCCCGGAATCGGGAGTATTATACCTATGTATATACAACGCTTGTGTGTGGATCTTTAAGACCTTATAATCGGGTGAACCGCGGTCAATCGAATTGGCCAGCGAACCGTTTCGGGCGCTCGTCGAACGGCATTGGGATCGCTACAGAGCGGGCATAACAAAAAACACAAAAAAAAAAAAGAAAAAGAAAAAATGATAACGATAGTAAATGCCGCGCGGCGCTATCGGCCTTGGGCGCGTTTTCACCGAGCCCGCAGGTCGAGGGCACTTCCGGTTTCGATGCCGGATAAATACCGACGATCCGGCGGATTGTCGATCAATATCATTCGCCGTCCCATCATCAGCTTCCACAATGATGTTCCCGACGGTGCAAATCGCAGTCTTGTTGATCGCCGGATTCGTCGAATCGTGCAGGGCGTACGTATACTCCTCGAACCACCGCTCAGAGTCCGGTCACAGCAGCAGTTCGTCCCGTGAGTATAATGTACACGTTAAAATTGTATTGCGCTACAAACTTTCGGTAGGACTTTGTGAGTCCTGTAACCGTATCGGTTGTTATGATAATATTATTGTCGTCCGTCCGTCCCTACTCCCGCTCTACAACATCGGCTGACATCGACATTGGCGTTGCCGTCGGAATTAACAGCGGTCCGTTTCTCAAAATTGATGGTCCTCTATCGTACAGTCTATTTTTGGTAGGCTCGGTCCGGTCCAGTCTGGTCCCGTTGTTTATTTTATCAGGTCCGATCCTGGTCTTAATAAATTTTTTTTCGCGGAGGTCCGGTTCGGTCTCTCGAATGGATAAAACGTGCCGTGCAAAGCACTAGCTATACAAAGTTGCAAAGTTTATGGACATAATATTTGTATTTTAATATTTTTTTTAGCACGAAAAACATCGTATAGCGCGTGTTTTTCCTTAATACCGTTATTTGAATTCTACTTTTAATCTCGAGACTTTCATAATTCGTGTATAATTTTATCACAACATAATAACGTGTGTTGTGTATCGCTGTCACCAATAACATTTTCCTCGTCAAAGGAATTTCATTATGTTTAATACCTATAAACGTTTTCCCCGTACAGATCGCAAAGTAGTTGTAGCTGTACGCAAACGAATTAATATTATTCTTGTGTGAATAATTAAAATTAAAATTTACTAGATGCCCGGATTATTAGTATCTGACGAATATCAATTAAATTCCAATCAATGGTACTTAGAATACCCGCGACACAAGCCAACAAATAAAATATATAATGTAATTAGATTTCTTTATTAAGTTCACTTTTTAGACTGTTTAAGCAGCGTACGAAACGTCCACTCCGTTTTCCATTATCCGATCGAATTACAAAAATAAAATTGAATCATCACAGCCGTTCCAATATCAAATTCGTATAGTTACTACTCATAGACATTTCGAATGCTATATAATTTGTAAAGTTCTAGAGTTACAAGGGTAATATATAATAAATAGGCAATGATTAATAGGCACTATATGGTATATAGTTTTCTTTCTAATTTAGTTTAAAACTACCAATTTCATAACATAATTCGTATCATTTTATTAAATTAAAACCAATAAGTAATTTTCACACATTATAATAAATCAAAACAATTTTATATGGCATAAAATATAAATTGTTCTAATTGACACTCGTCGTATACTCATTTGTGTTAACCTACTTTTCATTTACATTTAATTTAATTTACATCAGTCAATTTCTGGACAAATATATTAATTGTTATATTTTATAAATAATTTTAAAATTGTTTCGACTAAAAAAAAACATGCTCTTCAAGACGCCAAGCCAATTCTACCTGATATACAGACGCTTTCATAACTAATATTCTTATCTTCAACGTCTTTCTTAACTAAGTACTTTTTCCAACCTCATTCTAGATCTTCCTACAATGTGTCTTTTCACGGTCGGATTCCTTTCCAACATCACACAAATAACACGAAATAATGAGTTTTGATATTTACGGTCGTACTCTGCCACTCGTCATCTCTTGTCACTGATGGTTTCTAATGATGGTTATACATGTAATTATAAATACAGATTGTTTTTCCTATTTTTATTTTAGATAACAGTGGCCACGCGTATAGTTACAATAGTCATTCGGCTCAGGGTCCAGGTTACAGTTACAGTTACAGTCATTCGGACGGCGGTGTTTCTCCATTGTTCTTGCCCGGATATGCGACCGGATACCACTCGTACACTCCTCTTTTCATTTCACCGATCGACTTCGATATTGACTTCGATTTAGATAGTGACATAGACCCCGAACTAGATTTCCTTATCGACACAGACCTGGATCTCGATTTGGACTTGGACTTTCCCGGTATTGAGTATGGTCTCGGTTACATCGGGAAGTACGGACACTGGCTCAGAAAACCGAAGTACGGCTTTTCCCGGTTGTACGGGGGATCCGATTTAAACTTGTGGAACTACGGCGGAAACTACGGATACGATAGTATTGATCCATCGCTAAGTTTTTTCTAATAAATATTTGTAAAAATCGTGTACCTAATAGTATAACTTTTTTTTTTTAAATAATGCAGTATAACGATGTATTTAATTGTTTTTTATTACCCATATCACTCCTTATTCGTATAATATTCTACTAGGCAAAGCTGGACATTAACAAGTTAAAAAGTTGAAAACTAAGTTAGTATTAACTTAGCTTTACGCTTTGGTTTTCTATTAACTTAACAAGGTATTTAATTTTTTTATATTAATATAGTAAATAACGAGTTAATTCTGAATTATATTACGTTAAGTTTATTTGAATTTATTTTAATTCACGATATTTATCAACATTGAATATTGATCATGCTTATTTTAAAATAATGACAAATACGAGTTATAATCATTTTAACCATATTATTTCCAAAATTGAAATTATTAAAAATGTCATAATTCGTCACCATCATGCAATAAGTGACCAAGTATACAAAGTGATCTGGTATAAAAAAAACATGTTTTAATGCTTTATTTCCATCACTATAAATGTACCGAAAAACGACATATTTTGGGTCTTGGCAGTCACGTACCGTAGTTCAGGACCACGAAAGTATAATGGCTTCACTTGTTATCACCACCAGAGCATTTATTATCAATATTCGTACAGTGTATTAATTTTGTAATGAGTGTATTTTTAGACTTTGCGTCTTATTTACATTTAGTCACGTGTTCAGAATCTATACGTTATAATTTTTTTGCATTTTTATGAAATAACAAATATCACTTTATTTCACACGATCAAGAAAATATGTATGGGCGTCGAGCAATAACACTCTAATAAGAACCACATATTATTACAATTATTTCGTTAACATAGTATCGGTGCGGTTGCTTTATGTTGCACGAAATAGCATAGACTGGATTATTTTTTTTATCCGTTACGAAAAACCACACGAAATCGTTAAAATGGATTGAAAAGTAATACCGCGTGTTACCGTGTACGCGGTACGCCATGTGAAATTGCCTAATTTATAAATCACGTGCAATACCACGATTATAATATTATTGTTGTTAAATGTTTTGTTTATGGACTGATAAATAATAATATCGTTAGTGTCGTAAACAACCGAAACCCAATAAATATGTCAATGGTCAATATATTATCTCGATATTTTAATGTACCAATAATTACGTTTTATATACGTGACATTTCATTATAAACGGTTTTAATAATGGTTATAATATTAAACAAAACTGAAAAATATCATTACAATACTTTGACGAGAATAATGTTTATATACATGTAAATGTAAATGCATATTGTATTAAACTTCTAAATTTCGTTTCTATAGATATAATATTGTGATCAGTACTTGATTAAAAAATTAGTAGAATATGCTGCAGCCAAGAGCGACAACAAAAAACTTGTAGCTTTACATTAGTAAAATAGTGCACGTGCAAAAGGTGTACTTAAAGATGAATTTATTTTTATTGTTACAAAGAATTTTATAGTATAATATTAAAAGAGAAAATTTAAATCAAAACAAACAAAAAAAAATATAAATAATTGCTATTAGATATTTTTGACGATACTTTATGCAGTCACTTACATCTTTAAGAAGAGGGTGATTGATTCCAAATAGTTGAAATACGGGTGAAGGAAAAGAACAAAATGTATTATTTAGTTCGTAGTTTTGAAAGACCGGAAGGATTGTGGCTAAGAGGTTCATTTTTTTTTTCTTGCACAACATGATATTTTTTTAATAAAAATAGTAAAAATAAGTTAATTTTTTTAATTAAAATTAGTACAACGTGATTTCATCTTTGCATTCATCCGTGTAGGATAAGATGCACTTAAATGACTGACCGGAGACAAATTAGTTCAGTTCTACCAAAAATACTTTATCAGTTGGTTGAATTTTATCGTGATCCTGAGCATTTGCAAACATAAGAGCTAATTCTTCTTGTTTCTTCAAATTTGTTTCATGGATACGTGCAAACGACTTAGCAATAATTGAAAATCCTCCTAAATGACGTGGTTTAAATGCAGCATGTTCCTTGCTACTTCCTTCGCCATAATTATCATCGCCAAATACTACTATGATACACCTTTTGCTTTATGTATACAGACCTGGATGTATCTGGTACTGTACCACACTCATCAGTAATTTTATTCTGTACCTTATTCATTGTTATCGGAGTTAGTTGCGGTTCAGAATATGTTAGAACAGCTACTATCCAGAACAGCAGAAATGTGATCAATAGTACATTTTTATGTTAACATGTTATATATTGTCTAAATAACCTCTATATGTCAACTATGGACAGCAGAAATGTGACCAGTAGTACATTTTCCTTTAAATTTGTTTATTATTTTTGCCATAGTTTATTATTATGCGGTAACGATAACGCGAAAACGATGAATATTATTTTGTTCGTTTTATTTTTTTTGTTTTTTAACAAATGAATACATTGACTCGTTATAATAATATTATAATCCGGATTTATATATTCTTTTGAAAAACCTAAAATATGATGCTAATATTCTTCAAAAAAAAATCTACAAATATTGTCATTATATTATATGATAAATAATGTATGATATTAGATTCTGAGTGAAACAAAAGACGAATCAGAAGTAGGTAAGTATTTCAATAAAAATAAACGTAGGAGAAAGACCGATTATTAAGTAGATAGATGCGATTGAGAATGATTAAGAACAGTCGACAATGGCGTAATTTGGGCATAATGCCAAGAATGGAATAAAATATTCAGAATTTTAAAAAACATATTAAATTTATATAAATTAATTACACAACTATTATATATTTATATTTTAATAACTATAATATCTTAACGAATTTACTGAATATCAATTGTTTTAATCTTTGAAATAGAATTGTAAAAACTAACTAAATATACTAGTGGTTTTTGTTTCATAAAGATTGAACTCGGCTGTGTATGACATACACATTCAGGTATCGGTGTCCTAAACCAGAAATTTATATATATGTATAGGAAAAAGAGGTAAATAATTAAGTCATTATTAAAAATGCGTTTTACGAATTATTTGTATAATTATTAACTATAATAGTTGTAAATAGGTATGTACTTGCTGTTTTACTTATAATTAATTTTTGTCGGGGTTTTCCAAATTATTTCGAAAACCATTGAAAAATAAAATTGACCTCACAGTGTACCAACATAGAAAATTACCTTTCAGAAAAGGTGCTAAAGTAAAATAATCTATACTTCGGACTTCAGAGCAAGTTTTCTAGTGAGAAAATTGTTCAAAACGGTTAATAATATTATAGTAAATGGCCAAAAACGCAACATTCGTGTTTCTATAGTATCCACCTAATAAAACATACAAAAAAAACGTATAGTGTACACGATTGCGAA